AGTTAACAAAACTTAAGTTATTTTTTATTTTTTATATAAATTAATGATAAAAAATATAATAATTACACCTTTAACATGTGCTCTTAGAATAGAGGTTTGAAATTTTCAAAAATAAATTTACAAAGAAGAAAATAGTAGCTTCAATGGTTACATTTACACTAGCTTCAATGGTTAAAACCAATTTGGTATAATGGTTTGGAAGTAGTGATTAGTGATTTTATCGAAGCCATTAAGGTTAGTTATTTGATAAATTTATTTATTTAAAAATTACTGCACACTAAAAATTTGGTAAAAAATTTTATTTAACAATTTATGATTAGCAAATAGTAGATAAAGTCCAAACCCGCCACACCCTTAACATGGTCACTGTTTCCAGCCAAGAAGGTGACATAAGTCCTCCTGGGAAGGCTTGCTGCCTTGGCCATACCGGTGACAGTGTTTTGGGTGGTGGTGATGTTAGAAGCCATATTTTGAGTTGTGTGAAAGGTTGAGAGTGAGTGTTTCTTAGGATTCTGGAAGGAAATGGGAGAGGAAATGTTTGTGTGATTGAAGAGATGAACTTTGCGCTTTGAGACGATGAGAGGTAAGGGGATGGGATAGAGTTGTATATATAGAAATTGGGGGGTCGATCCATTTACTATTCATGAATAGGAGTAATATTTTCCTTAGTGAAGTAAAGTCCAAATGCCGCAAAATCTTGGAATCTACGAAGGGATAGGATTTGATCGGACGGTTGCAGAATGAATTCAGGAATTGGACGGTGCATGAAAGGTGCGAGAAATTTCGTTTTACTTAATTTTTTAATAATTATTATTATAGAATTAGAATATCGGGGAAGAATGAAGATCCAAATGCTTTATTTTCTGTCAACCGGCCCTGTGGCACAATGGTTGGCCCTTAAGCCTTAGGGCTTGGGTGAGGCGGAAGTCAGGGTTTCGTGCTCTGCCACTGCCGTGAATTTTACCAACTTGCAATTTAATGGTTACACGCTTCTTCTGAGGGGATAGATTGTTCACCATTCTAGAAAGTCCCAATTGCTAACAATTAACTCTACTAATTTCCTAACCATTACCATTGTCAAAAAAAAAAAATGCTTTATTTTCTAGGTTGCCAAAACTACCATTCAAAAATCTTTAAGAAAGATATCGTATAGATGTTATTATAAAATATAAGTGTGGGTGTTTCTGTCAAAGGGGAGATTATGTTCCTGCATTAGCCTAAACAACCACACAATGAGCAGGTCCCACCAAAATTAACAAAGTAGTAGTAACCCGGTATTCACACAACAGAACGTCAGAACCCTGAAACCTCACACGAATGTCACTGGGTTACACTCCACGTACACAATATAGGGGACACGTGATATGAGCCCTACTTTCTCGTTTGGCTCCCATTTCTTTCCTACAATTGGAACTCTGAATTGTTCTTTAGTTTAGATAAATCTAAGCATAGTTTTACAGCTTGATCTTATGAATCTTTTGGCCAAGATTTGAAAATTAATACATTGTTTATTGATTTATTTACCTCATTTTCAAAACTCACAGATTTCCCTGTTCCCAATCATCTATTTCATCTCTTTCTCTCAGATACATTGTTCCCAAATTTTGAAGAAGGAAAAAGCACGGATCTTATAGAGGTTGTGGCCATCATCAACGCTAAAGAAAAAATTTGGGAGAAAGAGATGAAATAGAAGTGCGGGAGAGGACGGAAGATGCATGGACTATTAATATTCTCTTTTATGCAGTTTTCCGTTAAATGATAGGGGGAGGTCTTGCTGTCACTCTCTCACATAGAAAAATTCTTGTATGTAATCTGATCGAGAAAATAATTTTTTCGAAAGTTGTTTTCGCAACCAAAAACAAGTGGTCCTTTTTGTCTGCGCCAGGGGATCGACTTTACGTAAACGAGGATTGCTAAGTAGAGACTTCTTCAAACCGTTGATCCATTTCAACCATCCACCCTCCTTCCTCTGGCAGCTATTAAACCGGGGAATCGCCGCTGTTTACATCCATCTTTACCCTCCAACGAGACTTCTTACTATTTACCCTCATCTTTACCGACAGCACCTCTCTGTAAAAGTCGATATTTTGTAGTTCTTCTGTACTATTCAGAGAGTAAAATAACTAATTTTTTATTATTTATTTTTAACTATATTTTTTAAAAGTTAAAAAAACATTTCAATGACTCACAAAGCGGATTAAAAAGAATAATGATAAAAATGATGAAAATTTAAAATTA